AAGTTTGACTTCCGGCTTGTTTCTGTGCAGTACTAAAGGTACGAATTAGGCAGTAAGTAACTAGCTGATGCTCCCACTTCTGATCAACCTATATTGATTCTCTAAAGGTGGACATGTGGAATCAACGGCTGAGTACAGGAATGCATTGAGCTGTGGTATCACTAATCACAACTCTCCCCGTGACAGAATGATGTGCCAAGAATCACATGAGGCCAATTGTGAAACCTCCTCCTAGTAAAAAGTCATCACCTTAAGGGATGAGACAAAATAAATGTGGGAAAATATTTGTAAACATAAATATTTAAAAATTATGATGAATTACAATTTGTCATAATCAACACCTTTTAAGGAATACTTTCCATAAAGATGCGAATCACTGGAAAGTAATTTGAATTAGGTGATGGCAGTGCTAAGAATTATTTGAGCATTATCCAGTTCAATTTGTTTTCCCTAGCAAGCATGATACATGCTGTTTACTAAGCAGTTAAAAGCCGCCACAATGAAAAAGATAGCGCAACATTAGAAGAAACATTTGTTTCAGCCTAATCCTACTAATCCATTTTGGATTTCTTTCAATCTATCCTTACTTGCAACCAGAAACTATAATCAGTTTAAACGAATTAACCATGGTTCATGGAGTCTGGCACTTAATTCTAGAGATTACATCGTCCGCTAATTATCAAAGGTTCATTATCTTACGATACACTTTTTTCTTACGAAACACATAATCCTAAATTATTACATAAGCTTTCATTTATTGAGAAATCAAGGTGAAGGGCTAGAGCCCATACTGCAAGTCAAAAAACATTAAAAAAGACAAGGTTAAAAAAAAGTAATAACTTGGTACAAAATGAGAGTTTCAAAAGCCTGAGGCTTAGAAAAAATAATATCATAGTCAGAAGTCCCAGTTTTGGGCAAAAAAAGTGATACAATCTCAAATTCAAAACAGTAGGCTATTAGGAAGCTCAAGAAGTATTGTGTATTTCTTAAAATTTCTCAAGGACTATCTTTGATCTTTTTATGCACTACTTCTTAGTTTTCAGGGCCTCCTTTTTCATTCACACTAACTTACTATGTCATGCAGACATGCAGTAACAAAACCTCTGTATTTGTGTTTGAAAGGCAATGTGATAGAAGTTTATAAAATAATGAGAACTACAGATACAGTTAACGGTAATTGTCTTCCCTAGGATAGGGGAGTTCAAGACCAGGGGACGGATTTTTAAGTTGAGAGGAGAGAGATTTGAAAAAGACATGAGGGGCAATTTTTTTTACATGTTCACATGTGGAAAGAACTTCCTGAGGTGAACAATAAGGTCCTGGGGAGTGGTGGTGAACAAAGTGACATGGAGTACAGGGTCATAGTTCCTTGAAAGTGGAGTCACAGATAGACAACATAGTGAAGGTGGCGTTTGGTATGCTTGCCTTTATCAGTCAGTGCATTGAGCATAGGAGTTAGGAGGTCATGTTGTGGCTGTTCAGGACATTGGTTAGGCCACTTTTGTAATGCTGTGTGCAATTCTGGTCTCCCTGCTACAGGAAAGATGTTGTGAAATTTGAAAGGATTCAGTAAAGATTTATAATGATGTTGCCAGGGTTGGAGCTATAGTGAGAGGCTAAATAGGCTGGGCAATTTTCCCTGGAGTGTCGGAGGCTGAGGGGTGACCTCAGAAGTTATAAAAATCATGAGGGGCATGGATAGGGTGAAGAGCCAAGATCTTTTCCCTGGGGTGGGGGACCCCAAAACTAGAGGGCACAGGTTTAAGGTGAGAGGGGAAAGATTTAAAAGGGACCTAAGGGGCAACTTTTTAACACAGAGGGTTGTGTGTCTATGGGATGAACTGCCAGAGCAAGTGGTGGAGGCTGGTACAACTATAACATTTAAAATGGACCTGGAAGGGTATATGAATGGGAAGGGTTTACAGGGACATGGGCCAAAGGCTGGCAAATGGGACTAGATTAATTTAGGATATCTGGTCAGCATGGACGAGTTGGGCCAAAGTGTCTGTTTACATGCTGTACAGCTCTATGACTAAGTGGTGGATGTGGGTACAACTGCAACATTTAAAAGACATTTTGGTAAGTACATGAATAAGAAAGATTTGGAGGGATATGGGCCAGAAGCAGGCAGGTGGGACTAGTTTAGTTTGGGATTATGTTTGGCATGGACTGGTTGGACCGAAGGGTCTGTTTCCGTTCTATATGTCTCTATGACTCTACCGGAGGTTTATGAACTCTCCCAGAGGCAGTATTAGAATAATTCATCAATATCCTCAATAATCATCATTTGCTTTTAAACTTAAAGCCAGAAATCTCAACACCAGGTTATAGTCCAACAGGTTTATTTGAAAATTATTTATTAGCCTGGTGTCGTGGGATTTCTGACCATGTCCACCCCGGTCCAAAACCGGCACCTCCACATCAAAATTAAAGCCATAACTGACAAGGGAAGTATCAATTTTGGAGACACTGCAATATATAAATTGTCAAAAGACAACATATCTTAATTAGCAATAAGTATTTTTTTTTCTAAAATAACCATCACACACCCAGACACAAAGTGCCATCACACTAAGCACAGACTAGTAAGGCCATACAGAATACGTAACCATTAGAAATGCACAAAGCTAAATAAAAATTGTCATTCAGCAGTTACTACATCTTGGAATCCAATCTCAGATTTAAATTTAGTAACTGATATAGTGTTCATTGCAAACCACCACATTTGCTCCCTTGTAGTAGCATCTGAACTTATGCATCCTTAAGGCAGAGATTCCACTTCCCCACCCACACCCTTGCCTCCCATAATTCGCAATCTCCCTCTTACCCCACCCCACTCACTGCTCCTCTTTTCCCCTGCTCCACCCAGTATCTCAATTCTAGTCCAATACAGCAACTCGGGTTTGTCTGGTTCACAGTATGACCTCTCACCTCTTGCTCCCCCTTCAGTCATAGGCTGGTTCTCTCCCACAGTAGACAGAAAAAGCCTGCGCCTGCAAAACAGCTCCTAAAAGACTGATTTGACAGTTTTATTCTACAGGGGAGACCTTTCTCCCATTGGGTCACCCATGATTGAATCCTGCTGGCATTTTTGAGAGCTCCCAGTGACAAATTCATCTGCCCCATATATCTGAATACTGATGAACACAGAAATTACAAGGGGTAGGCTATTTGGTCCTTCAAGCCTGCTGTGCCACTCAATATGATCATGGCTGATTCTCTACCTCAATGCCATATTCCCATATTCTCCACATACAACCTTGATGACTTTAAAATCTACACATTTATCTCCTTCTTGCATATATTCAGTGTCTTGGCCTCCATAGCTTCTGCAGTAGAGCATTCCAGAAGTTCACTACCCTTTCAGTGGAAACAATGTTGCCTCAACATAGTTCTAAATGGATGACCCGGTATCCTGAGAGCCTGTCCCCTGGTTTTAGACTTCCCAACCAGGGAAAACATCCTCCTTGTATTTAGTGTGTTTCAAGCTTACAGAAACAAGGAATGAACTTTCAAAGGAACAATGACTATAGTAATGGCGGTAGAAAAGAGAAAGACAAGAAAAACTGCAATAAAAAGCAGGAGGGAGAACAGGATGATTTTTCCATAACATTTCCTGCATCCTCATCTTGACCAAGAGTGTGCCTAGGATGTGGCAAAAATATTCAAGTTGTGGATGGAAACCAGTTCTTTGGTACTAAAGGAAAAAAAAAATTCATATTTGCTCCACTAGTAATGCTTCTTCCAGTTGAGTACAGAGAAGATAATAAGATCAAGACTGTCAACAGATGAGGAAGGACTAAGACTGAAGACTTTAAAAATAATTGTTGCAGAGCAGATTAGCAAAAGACACGAGACAACCAAGGTGTAGATTTTTACTCTAGTCCGTAGGCAGAACACTTACCAGTTCTTGCTGAAAACCTCCCTGGTCCTTTTGAACAGTCAGAGCTCATTACTGTGCCACCAATGAACTGCAGCCCCCAAACAGATGCCCCATTGTTCCTTACTAGCTCTGAGCTAGCAAAACAGATCACCCAGAGACTGAACCAGACAGCAGAAAAGTAAGTCAATGTGGCAGGACTGATCACGGAGAAGATAAACACCAAGCATGTAACCACCAACATCTTTCTTATGGTATGCTAGTGCCTTCTGTCCCCACAAAAGGATTTTTTTTTTAATTTTCTGGACATCATCTTTTTCCTCTTCCCACCTGGTTCACCTGAGCAGAGTATGCACGGCACTTGTCCTGTCCAGTTGTTCCTCTAAGTGGTGTAGATAGAGACTCTGATTTGCATATAATAATGAGGCTCCTGCCTGATTCAGGATAAGGTCCAGTAGAATGTATCTAGCAGAGGTACCCAGCAAATATGCCAGTGGTGTGGAAATGGCATAGTGAGTGGTGGACACCTCTTATTTTGGCTGCGATCCAGAATTGGTGGGACAAACGCAGCTTACATCCCTGCCAATTAAAATAGGCTCTACTGGACTCTAGCTGAAATTACACTGGAAAGCTAATGAACTCCATGAGGAAATTATATTCGTCACTCATTATGTAGACATTATTACATTGTCCAAATGGTCATTCCCTGTTGGAGTTCAAGCAGTGATTGCGATCTTTTAAAATCTAGAATTTATACTTAGTCTATTCCATACTTCATTGTATGGGCAACAATCATGCTGAATACAAGCCTGTGCACACTTTCAAGTGGAAATCACTGGCTGATTTTTCCCCCCTCCTCTTCTGTAACCTAGTGATGCTGGGATTAACTGTGCTAACTATAAACACTGCATAAACAGAAATTATTTAACTAAGTAGTCAGTTTAAATCATAGATTGCTGGTCAATACAAGATCCATCTCTTACTGTTAAGAAAATAACTGACAAAAGTAAAATCAGTGTTTATCAAGTTTCAATGTCATTGATTAGCATTTATGTAAACTGATCAAATAAAATTCTGTACTTTTGTTAAGAGAAAAAGTATAAAATCTATCATTTCTTACCCTTTAATCTGAGCAAAACCAGTTACCAGCGTAGTCCCATATAATGCTTTGAATTCCAGGAACCTACTTCCATCTATCAAACGACTCAGAACCTATAAAATATTAAATACCTTTAAATGTAATAGTTAATTCTTCCGAGACACATTGAACATACCAGAAACTAGGTTTCAACTGATCAAAATTAATAGTGGAAAAATAAACTGTTTTATTGTATTCATTAGCTTTAGACATAGAAGGTAAAACAAAAATGGAGGCAAAATGGAGCAATAATTTCAGAATTGTCAATCTCACTATTTTTAAAATCTCTAAAACAAAACAGAATATCCAAAATGTTTCAAGACTTAATATTCAGTTAATCCACTTATGTTTTGATATGCCAAAGTATCAGCACAGAAGTTTATACAAGATCTTAAAAATCAGATTGTGCATCTTGAGCAGAATAATGCAATACATCCTTCTTGGACTGTCTATTTGCTTAAATAGCCCATTCCTTTCTTATGTTATTCACACAAGTTTCAACTGTACAGTTAGCTAACCTTTACAATGTAACTGTTAAGTTCTAGTTCTGATCATAGCCAGTGATCTGGCTTATATGTACACAGGTTTGAATTTGGTTGTGATATTCTCCATGACCAAATAACTCTCTAATATTCATTATATGGGCTCATATAGTGGAAAAGGCCATTTATAAAAGACACACTAGGGCACTGGATATTTATGGAATCATATCAAAGCATGCTTGATAGGCTTGAAAGGCACAGAGAACTGGTAAGGAAAACAAGGGAGACACCGAAAATCAAATCCACAACCGCTGAGTGCAAAACCTGATAGAAATTGAACAAGGATCATTTGACACTAATACTCCCACCTCACAAGAATAGCACACCAGAAAAAGACTAAGAAAAAGGATTCTGATCAAGTCATTCCAAAAATTGCTAGGAATTGAAGAAGGTTTATGTAAATACGTAGGGATAAAATGATTTCATTAGTCATAAAAACACCCACCAAATGACTATTCGCAAGCATTTTAGAATTTCAGTGGTACAAAAATATCGGGGGGGGGAATAGTTTACAAATGGAAGAAATGCTTCATCAAGTGAAATAAACAAGTGGCACTAACTCAATCGTTAACTATATTATTTTTAATGATTAAACAACACAATGATTATCTAATACATGCTGAAAGAGCAACATTTACTACTCTGCAGTATGGAATATAAAATCATGACAACAAAATTCAATTCATAACAACTAGCCATCTAAAAGATTATTAAAGTGCACAGACTAGGTACAATTAGCCATTTGACATCCCAACTGACATACGAAGTGCAGACAGCAACACAAAGTAAAACTAAAATCCATTGTACAGCAACCATTCCAGATATATACGCAGAAATAAAGTAGAGCAATAAAAAAGGTTTGTGGCTTGTACAGCTGATTCCGAACATCCCCTGTAGATTCTGAGGAAGGGTCACTAGACGCGAAATGTTAATTCTGATTTCTCTCTACAGATGCTGCCAGACCTGCTGAGCTTTTCCATCAACCTCTATTTTTGTCCCTGTAGATTTCTATCTGTCAGGTATCCATCATTATACAAGAAAATCCATAACTTGTTGGAAGAATAATGATTTGTAAAGATAAAAGGAAATGCAAAAACTAAAATTCTAAAAAAGTATTTTGTCAAATTTGAAGCATTAACTCTGTCCCTCTCTCCATAAATGCTGTCAGACCTGCTAAGTTTCTCCAGCATTTCTTATTTTTTACTGCAAGAAATAAACACTGGATGTGGTTTTAACTTGACACAGATGCGGAGAGCAGAAGAATAGAGGAGTCAAAATTGCTGTTCAATACTGATTATCCATAGGCACAGTCATCTGGATAGCCCAGGTACCAGCTTAATCATCACAGCCCCTACATTTTCCAGAGGATCAGCATTACAAAAATGTGAAACAATCTTTTACTGAATTGAAACAGGACTAAAGAAAATACCTCAATTATAATAACAAAATATGATTGGCCATGGCCATTTTGAATGGTGCATCAGGCTCAGAGGGTTGAATGGCCTACTCCTGCTCCTATTTTCTATGCTCCTAGCCAATACACAGCAACTCAACTATCTAGGGCCCTGGAGCAAAATGTATCAACATATTTACCTGGATGAATTTTTGACAGAGAGCTGGGAAAAGTGTGCACTATGCATCTTTCATCCATTTAAATTTAACGGAGTGTGAGGCTCCAAAATGAAAAGAATTACATTTCTGACAACAGCAGAAGCATGCGTCTGCCTCTTGCCTCCAAATGAATAATGTGGGATCACTGCCTCTAAACTCTCTGCCTTTACAACTGGCATTCATCTTCCTGATTTAGCTGCCTGCCTCCACAGATCTCTGCATACTGTGTTGAACTGTCTGCATTTTCTGAGTCTGGAATTAAAATCCACCCATTTTCATACAATAATGCCCCATACTATTTGATTTGGTGCTTTCACTAAAACATTTCTTTTATAAATACCATATAAAAATTAATATCAAGAGTATGTACATTAGTAATAGTGTGATGGTGTGATTCTGTTTATTACAGGAAAGTGAATGTGAAATTTTCTGATGATAAACAGGAGATAAACTTCCTGTTCTTTTTTAAAAAAGAACTACTGACCCCTGCTGTAGAAGATGTGTATTTTTGGATATCAAATACAGATGAGGTAACACAGCGTGGAGCTGGAAGAAAGCAGCAGGCCAGGCAGCATATAGGGAACAGGAAAGCTGACGTTGTTATCTCTGACTCCAGCATCTGCAGTTCTTACTATCTCTGAGTCAGATACAGATGAGGACTATTTCAGCTATGATGACTCTCTTCGTCAAAAAAACTCCTAACACTCAATTGCTAGGCTCACATATGAACATGAGTACTTAGACAACAGACTAGTCTACCATGGGTTTACTCCGCTTTGAGACTCAGATTGCAAATTGGACACCTAGCCCCACACATCCAAATCCCTTGTTTTATCTGTACAAAAGACTTGGCTTTATCCAATGGGTCTGTTGGACATTAACTTATAGAATCCCTACTGTGCGGAAAGAGGCCATTCAGCCCATTAAGTCTCCGACCCTCTGAAGAGCATCCCACCTAGACCCACACCTCCACCCTATCCTCATAACCCCACATTTACCATGTGTAGGCTAATCCATGTAGCCTACACACCCACGGACACTACAGGGCAATTTAGCATGGCAATCCACCTAATCTGCATGTTTTGGACGGTGGGAAGAAATCGGACAACCCGGACGAAATCTGCGCAGATACAGCAAGAACATGCAAACTCCACACAGTCACCCAAGGCTGGAACTGAACCTATGTCCTTCGCACTGTAAGGCAGCAGTGTAAACCACCATGTGGCCTACCTTAATTTTTGTACAAACAGCAAAATGATTTCTCTGCTTGGAATCCCAACATGAGTAAGAGGCCTTTGGTTGAACTTTCCGGAACATTTTTGATTAGGTACCCACCTCTACGAACACTCTCCATTTCGGGAATTTGTACAGGACAAGTCAGGATCATGATAAAACACACTGGGTTTCATAGGCCACTAGCAGCCTTCCAAGTTTGTTTCTGCGCAGAATAACGGTGACCTAGAGGAGCTCCTTCTGAAGAAATTGGGACACAGGGAAGTCCATTGGCCTATTGAGTTGGAAAGATATCCTACAGGAACTGCCAGCAATTTCCTTATCAAAACCCCTTTAGACATGATTCTAAATGACCTGGTCCTGCCATCACAACGCTCTGTCTATGGCTAATCTTAAAGCTCACTATTTTCTCTTTCTTTATTACAGAATGCACATCACCTGCAGGCCTCAGACTTCCCGCTGTCCACTTGCCTCCTCTAAGCTGTATATGAGCTGTCCACTGTTGATAAATAGCTAATTGCTGGTTCAAAAACATCTCTCAATTGCTTCTTTAACTGTATGGCTGTCACTGCTGCACAGGTTGACATCAAGACTCTCCCTGGGAAAGATAGAAGAAGTGGAAAGGTATCAGAATACCAGCTCAATGGCATGTTTTTTGTCCAATTTCTCCATGTGAACCTGTCTCTTATATCATTAGTTATACATTTTTGTCTTTACTGGCAGTCATTTGTATACCAAATATTCTGTTTGCTCTTGTAAATATTTCACTACACTGTCTAAAATTTAATGTTATGTCTTTAGTTCTACTGCACTAATTCAATCCCTTGCTTCAACACTCTACAATCTGCCTGCATAATGATCTCTCTGCTCAGAATGATTAATTTCGCCAGCTCTGCAGTTTTCAAAAGATTTATTAATTGGCCTCATTCTTGCACCCAAATCGATGGCTTAAAATAAAACTTTTCCATAGGTCTTTTATTTTCACTTGTCACTGGAGGGTTTGAGGACAGTTAATGAGGTTCCTGAGGGTGGAGGCAAAGGAAGCCTGCAAGAGGTGTGAGAGTGTTAGAAGGAAGTAAGTGTGAGAGTGTTGAAGGAGGCTGCGAAGTGACAAAGAGAGGAGAAGACTATAAGAGGTCTGAAAGATGAGGAGGAGGATGCAGAGGGCATGTCAGGAGAGAAAGACGCTGCAATGTGTGAGAAGGGAGATAAAAGCTGCAATGAGATGGTGGAGAGGGAAGATGAGAAATTTGGGAATCCAAGGAAACTTCAAATCACAGAAGTGATATATTCCTTGTAAATGAATATGGAATGTCTAGTTTAACACTGCATAAGTTCAGAAGGTACTACACTTGGAAAAAATTGCAAATAGATCCTATTGATCTGTAATGAACCATGTCAATTGTTAAATTTAGATCTGAGATGCAGTAATTAGAATCATAATTACCTGGTTAAAATATTCCAGATTTGTGCTTGTGCAATAGAAATGCAAGAACTGTGACCACACCAGTACTCGGTTATAGTGAAAATACCATTAGAAGTTTTTTTCAAAAAGAACTAATTGATATATTCCTCTCAATGTATGTTTTGAATCAAGTTGGTACAAGACCATTATTTCCTTGCCTCCTAAACTTGGTGATTCTAGGGCTGAACATATATGGGTTTCTCCCTCATGTCCTCAGTTTCTCAGGGATTTCTGATGCTGACTTGTTGAAGTTACAGGTGGACAACCCCTATGGAAATCGACCGCCATGTCAACAGCGTTTGTCACAAGAGAAAGTATTGCTCATATACCCAATTCTGTTCCCATCAAGCACCTATACACAAACTTTTCAGCAATGTATCACTAAACAACAATCAGGAGCAAAAACCCGAGCTTATTTTTCCATTTCCAGGACAAGCTAACTAAACTGATCCAGTTTCTGATCGAAGCATTTCAGTACGTACCAGAGATTGAATCTGGCATTCAAGAGCTTATGTCTCAGCAGACATCATGCAATGCAACGAAAGAGAAGACACTGCTCCCTTCCATTAATGTTTCGAAGACTTACATGACTAAGCACGGCAGGTATTTCAAAACTAACCAGTTTAACATTTAAGGTATGTGCATAATCCCTTGGAGCAAGACCATTCAGTTCATCAGGTGCATAAGCAGGCTCTTCAAAGTCGGATATCTTGTTTGATGGAAGATCAAAATTTAAAGTGGCGATAATATTCCTGACACATTCATATGCTTCTTCCTCTGTAGCTGCAAAATGATCAATGCATCCGCTAATCCTGAAAAACAGAAAAATCACCAGTTTTACAACAGGCTAAGTAGAATTACAAGGATTGAGGCTGGTGAGAGAGAACAAGTTCCTGCATCCAAAGTACCTGCACTAGAAAGCACAGTGTGGAGGTTTCCAGTGGTTGGTGAAAAAGGTGGGGATAAATTGTAAAGTACACTTCTCCACCATGTCACAGAAATTTCTACATTGTAAGGTAAAGCACTACTTCACCCTAGCCTCTACAGTGACGAGCTGAAGAGTTATGAAAGAAATTGTAAGCCAGTTACTGACCACCACTCCACGTATTCTATGAAGTACACTTATTAAAAACATCGTTATATTTGGTCCTTGAAAAGTTTTAAAAAGCAGAGATAACTGAGAAAACTCAAAGTACAGTTACATATCTAGACATGCTATAAATGAATGGGCTAGAAAGGTAGAAAATATAATCACATTGTATTGCACAGTAATGATATATCGAGCAATGAAATAAGGCAACAACTAGTGGTATTTATCGCTGAACTTTTGAGCCAGAGATCCAGGTAATGTTCTGGGGACCTGGGTTCAAATCCCACCACAGCAGATGATGGAATTTGAAGTCAATAAAAATCTGGAATTGAAGTGTCTAATGTCCATTAATCCATTGCTGATTGTTAGTGAAAACCATTTGGTTCGCTCATGTCACTAACAAGGGAAGGAAAATGCTATCCTCACCTGGTCTGGCCTGACTCCAAACCCATAGGAATATTATTGACTCTTAACTGCCCTGTGGGAAATTAGGGATGGGCAATAAACACTGGCCTAGACAGTGATATAGCCCTCATCCCATGAACGAGTAACCAAATAAAAAAAAGGTCATTTGGTCCAACAGGTCCATGCTTGCCTTTAAATGTATTTGCACAGATTTCCTCAAATACTTCACACAGAAGCACATTGTACATATTAACCATTCTGTGTCAAGAAATTTCAATTCCCTATTGGATTTATTGGTGAATACTGCACAACATAAAATATAAAACACAGTAATTTTAATATAGTGTACTGTCATGGACCAGACCAAACCCCCTTCAAACATATCAAGGAGACAGCCTAGACCTTGCCTTGCTCTTATTTAAAGACAAGCAAAAGGTGCTGTGTTCTAGGTGTAATTCGACTGGTTACTCTCCTCGGGTTAAAGGAAAATACAGTTTATTCTTATACAGCAGTAAAATACAAACAAAAGAAGGAATAATCGATATAAAACTTTAACTCCATTGGAAAACATAACAGAACAATAGATTAGTTAACTACTAAACAGCAACTGTTCCAATACAGTCACATCCCATAAATACATGCAATATTTCTCTAGCCCAGGAGGAAAGAACATCAAGAGAAAATTCTGGTAGAGAGAGAACCCAAGCATTTTGCTGTAGAATGGAGACACGTATGGTAGCTTCAAAACCCCAACAACTACTGAAAACCAAACTAAAACTCTGGTTGTATGACAGCCAAATTCCACCCATTCATGCTGCTTCTATTGTTCCAACATTTTAAAAAAACCCAAAGCCTCAGAAGCTGTTTACTTTATTGGCTTGGAACAGTCCACTCATCACGTCTGTTTCAACCTCTCTTCATAGAAATAAAGGACAAAATACACCTCTTAAAGCCATAGTATTGTCACAATATTAATATAGTATAAAATATTAATTTGATATTTTACTGGCTGGAATCAGAGTTGTTGGACTTACTTTTGAAAAACAAAGACATTTTACTGACACAAAATACACCAAACCAAAATAAAATGGCTACCAGTTGCATCACTGAGCTAGATTCCAGTTAATGGTGACACAGGGTATAGGAAGATTGCTAGAAATGACAGACCCTGAAGTGATGCTGACAACTTCTTCCTATCTCAAAAATAATGGAGATTCACAATACGCAACTGGACAATCAATTGTGGCCATGAAACCATGGTTATGGAGACATGCACACATCAAAACACAACTATCAAAAGCCACATTTTGGAATGCACAATGGAGTTCTGTACCTCTGTACCTCTGTTAGGCAGAAGTCATATGACTAACCAAGTTATGTGTGGAGACTTGGACTGGCAGAGACTGCAACAAGAGTGAGGAAAAGTTGCTCCCTCTGTCTCTCTCTCTCCAACCTAACAGCTAAGCTTGGTATTTACTATTTACTGAGTCTTTACTGATGTCTACATCCTTGCAAGCAGGCAGAGAATTCTGCTTGAATAGCTTCTGACTTTGTAGAGCTACGTCTCTAGAAGGAAAGGCAACATTCCGGTTACATTTTGAAACATTATTTTGGTGAAGAACCAAACGTCCATGAGTTGCAGCATTATTTTATCGCTCTGGGCATAATTTGGCCAAATTTATCTATGTTTGCATTTAATCTGTAATTATGTTTGTGAACTTCAACTGCATGTGTTGCATTCTGGAACTTTCTTAACCTTTTGATGTTTTTATCCAGGTTGGTTTCAGAAAAATAAATTTGAACTCATACTTTGTTAAAAACTCAAGGAACCTGCCTGACTCATCCTTACAATTAGCAAATAATGAGTTAAGTATATACACTACATTGGAAAGAACATCCTTTCAAATTTCAAACTTATTTTAATCAAACAAGGAAGAGAAATAAGGAGGAAAGCTACACCATTCATCCTCACCTGGTCACAACACTATGTTATGTACATGGTTCCTCGTTCTGATCTCCCTACTGGTGAAAATATCTTCACCGTGTCTACCATTTAGCCTTCTTGGTTTTTAGCTGGCTTGCTATTCACTTATCCCCTGACTTCAAATGTTCTAACTTATTTGTCATGAGTGTACTATTATTGAAGACTATTGAAATTAGAAATATATTAAAAATCTTTAATAGCAGTCTTATCTACACCATGTGCTACTTCTTCCAATGATTCAATCAGGTTAGTTAAGCATGATCTTCCCTTTTAAATTATATTAACTATTTTCATTGTGCTTTTAATTTCTATTATATCTATTAAGGTCTCCATCATCTTTCCTAACATCAACATTAACGTAAACCCCCTAGATTTGTTCTATTTTCTTTTTAATAGAAGAATAACATTGACTGTTCACTCTACCACTATTCTCTTTTCCAATTAATCTTTTATATATTTAATATAGCCTCTAATATTTTTATCCTAACTTTTTAACATATAAGTATGCTCGCAATCCATCTGTATCAGGGAATTTATCCTCTCTAACTTTGATTTATTTATCAATTATCTTCTAAATAATCAGCTAGTTAATTTTCTTCTTCCTCACATTCAGATTTCAGAGAACAAGTTGGGTTCAAAGACAGCCCTCATTGATGGGTCTCCCTTTCTTCTCACAAAAGAAAACACTCACTTCAGATTCATCATTGACAGCAATGGTGAGATTGTTGTTTCTTTTCTCCACTGTCAGCCATCTCCTTACACATCACTTCCTTGCTTTACCACCTCCACTGCCTGTACAGGAGCTCACCAACATCTCTGTCACACAATTTAAGACCAATTAGTTTCTTCCGTCTTTGTACTTGCTCTATACTCTCCAATCCTGCAAACTAAACCTCTACAAGGAGCTACCCCACCCAACCAACTTGTACCTGAACCTGCAACTTTCTAGCTGCTCCCTCATTTTCCATGCTCCTCTCATCAATGATACTCATTCCTATTCCTTCGATATATTCCCAATCAACTCTCGATCATCCAACTTCCCAAGCTGTACTATTTTACCCAACATTTTAAAAGCTTACCTCTTCTCAGGTAGTAACTTTCTGAATTAACATCACGGTCCTAACCATAATACTCATCAATGGTACATCTGTCTCCACATATTACCATCTCATCTTGAACACTAAGTACTGTTTCTTTTTTCTTTCCTACAATTTCATGTCTGAATCTCTCCAATCAGGTTTCCACTTCTGCTATATCATCAAAAAGACCCTAAGCAAGTCACAAAGGGGATTCACTGTGACACAGAAGATGGTGTTCAAAGTGAAGTACTGAAGGATTTTTAAAATTAATTATTAAAACCATTACCACGGGGATAGCAGCTTCTCCCAAATATTTTTAACAATACAACATAATTCATTTAAATAATATTTTCAAATTTTTTTTAGAAGGAACAGATGCATATATTGTTGTTCGTTACAGACTCCTCCCCTCTTCAGCCTCTTGCACCAGCTGGTTGTTTTTCATGAGTTACCATTGACAGTGAGTGTCAGATTAGGAATTGAAACTAGGTGAATCTGGTTTATTACCATAGGCCCTCAGAATGCTGCTCACATATGTTAAAGGTCAAACATTATTTTGTGAGGGTGATCAAACTGAGAGATCTTGCAGGTCTCCACAAAATTAACTTCTTCATTTCCTTGGAAATTATGAGTCTGCATGTTGTTTTGTTATATGTCCCCTCAGAATCTTTGACGTTTCAATAAGATCACTTCTCATTCTACTAAACTCCAAAGAGGATATAGCCAAACTGCTCAACCTTTCCACATAAGACAATCAATTCATCATAGGAATTAACCTACTGAACCCTCTCTGAACTGCTTCTAATGCAAGTATGTCTTCCTTAAGTAACGAAAACAAAACTATACATGGAACTCCAGCATCAGGCTTTGCAAGGTCTTCTGTAGTTACAGCAAGCCTTCCCTACTTTCATATTTCATCTCCCTTGGAATAAAGGCCAACATTACATTTGCATTCCTTATAACTTATTGTTGGAGCTGCCTGTTTTTAAGAGATACAAAGTGGCCAGAATTTATAAGTCACGAAATGATAAATAATGAGGGGGAGACCGAAAACAGGACAGCCAGTAACTTTGGAATACAACACAAAGATCCCAAGGTCTAGAGAACACCATAAGAAAACGAAGAACCTAGGGTTGTCTATAGGAATGCCCATCATTGATAGGTGTTTTACAGGATTGGTCCCACAGAAGGGAAGGGGAGGGTACAATAACCACATTGTGCAGGATTATTGTAACTCAAAATGTACAAAAACGC